TTATCTCAATTAATCATACATTCCCTAATAATTAGTAATTAAATATACCAAATAAACCACTTCTTCCGAAATGCAAAACGAGCAGTTTCTGGAGACAAAGGGGCCTCGTAGCCTGGTGGATAGCGCGCAGGACTCGTAATTCTATGGCGCGGGTTCGATTCCCGCACGAGGCAGAAACAAATGGGCAAAGTTTCTTTCACCCTAAATGCCCCTGTTACCTAGCAGTAAATAGGTACCTGGGAGTTAGTCAGCTGTCACGGGCTGCTTCCTGGGGGTGGAGGCCTGGTCGAGGACCGGGCCGCGGGGACACTAAAAGCCCCGAAATCATCTCAAGATAACCTCAAGATAACCTCAAGAAGCAGAGCGGGCAACCATTAAAAGTGTTGTTATTGTGAGGAAACTCGAGCCCACAAGCGGGCCTCCCACAACACAGATTTCTTCCTGGAAGTTATAGAACGCAGTGTGACTTATTACAAAGAACATAGTCACTATTTGTTGCCGCAACCTGCAGAATAAGGGAATTAAGTGCCCAAGTTCTGTTTATCTATTAGCTCAGATTAGTTGGTACCTATGTTCTATGTCTTAGATAAATCGTTTGGGCATAAGACAACACCACCCACAAGGGTAAGCTGTGATACATTATTAATCACCCAAATTTCATGTGTAACACCTGTACTTTACATGTTATCTTCAGTTTTTACGGTGTAATTTGTTGGCAGGTAACTTGTGACTGCATGAGACATCAGTGAGCTGGTAAGGAACCCAGAACTACCCAGACGCAATGAATACCTGTCCAGTACGGAGTACATGTGTCCGGGAAATCTTATGTAGGATAACCAGCTAACAACACACTACAAACCAGCTGAGGCCAATTTAAAAGCATAATAAACCAGTAGTAGAGTAATTTATCTCATTAACAATTAAATCTTCTGTTTAATTATCGCAAGATTAAATGTGAACCCCCCATCTCCAAATGGTGTGAAGGGAAGTTTACTGGTGATAATAAATTATAAAATACAGCCCGCTCGTAAGTAATAAATACAATCTCTTGAATTAATAATCAAATTAATCGCCGGTAGATTTACCACAAGAGCTCCGGTACCTAAAAAAATGGTACTGCACCCCTGTCCTTCATACACACCAGTGGTTTCTTAGTTCATGTTAATTTCCAGCCCTGTATTCTGGAGGCTCTTGCAATCTTAGGTTATGTCATCCAATTTATCTAACAATTATACTCAAAGACCTTGGTGAGCTTAATTTGTAAGATGATGTATCGTGTGTTTCTCCAAATTATATGTTGCGTAAATTTTTTTGGTCAGTCGGTCATGTTGCTTTCAATTCTTGTGTGGTGACTCAAATTCTTAATTAGTGTTGATGTGGGGAAAAGTGAAGGTAATATAATGATGACCAGACCACACACTAGAATGTGAAGGGACGACGACGTGTATGTCCGTCCTGGACAATTCTCAAGTCGATTGTGATGAGGAAGTAGAGACAGGCAATAATACCCTCTTTCTGAGCACCAGCAAGAACCTCTTGGACTTGGTCTTTCTTTTGCTACTTCCCCTGGCCCACGCTGTGGCATTGATCTCATTAGTTCCTTTGACAGGTTTGTCAATTCTAACTCTAGTACTCTTTCGGACCTGTCTGCCTTTAGAGGGGCCTTATCCCTGTTCTTGACAGTTTGTTTTCTAAAAATCACCACCTTCCTCGTCGCTTCCAGCTTGCCCTTGCCTCCCTGAAATCTAACAACTCTATTCTTATCCTTCCTTCCGACAAAGGCAATTCGGTGGTTGTCCTTGACCGTGAGGACTACCTCCGAAAAGCAGATGTCTTGCTCTCTGACTCTCACACTTGTGCTCCTCTGACTTCTAACCCTAACCGCAAACTAAGACAGCTCTCTAGTCTTTGTCCTCCTGACTTTGATCTCATTAAACGTTTCCGTGTCATCTGCCCTTCTCTTCCTTATTTCTATGGTCTTCCTAAGACTCATAAACCTGGTGTTCCTCTTCGTCCTATCATTTCTTCACGGGGCTCTGTCAGCTATCCTCTTGCCTCCTGGCTCGCTAAAATCCTGACACCTTACCTTGGCACTTTTTCCCCTGCGTCACTCTCAGGACTTCATAGAAAGACTGCGCCTGCAACCCTCTTGTAAAATGCTTAGTCTTGATGTCGACTCTCTGTTCACTAATGTTCCGCTCTTCTTCCTCTCCTTCTTCCTCTCCCGCTTCCCACTGACGTTTTCCTTGAACTCATTAGACTGTGTTGACTCTAACTCTTTCTCTTTCAACGGTAAATATTACACTCAAACTTTCGGTGTCGCTACGGGTTCCCCTCTCTCCCCTGTTCTTGCTAATTTCTACATGGAATACTTCGAAACTGTTCTTCTTCCTTCTATTGATACTCGTCCCTCTCTCTGACTTCGCTATGTTGATGACATTTTTGCTGTATGGCCTCATGACCTTAGTCATTTAAAGCCTTTCCTCTCCTCTCTTAACAATCTGGCTCCTTCTATCCATTTCAAAGTTGAGTGGGAATTCTCTCCATCCTTTTCTTGATGTTCATGTTCACAGCTCTGTGTCTGGGTTCTCTTTCTCTGTCTACCGTAAACCCATGCATAGTGGCATGTACATTTACTTATTTTCCTACCATCCTCCTTCTGTTAAGAAAAGTGTCCTCGTCTCTCTCTTCCTCCGCGCTCTACGCATCAGCGACCCTCAGTTTCTTGATTCTGAAATTGCCTTTATCTACAAATCATTCTCTCGCCTTGGTTACCCTTTGCATTTCATCAACTGTGCCTACTCTCAAGCTAAACGAAATTTCTTTCATCCTAAACCTGCTTCCAACACTAGTAGCACTGTACTATGCCTTCCCTTCATATCTGAACTCAAAACTTTTACCAATACCTTTCGTCCTCTTGACATTAAGCTCGTCTTTCGACAAACTAACACACTTCGTAGCAATCTAGTTCACACTGCTCCTCCTGCTTCTAATGCTGCTGGTGTCTACTCTATTTCCTGTTCATCTTGTCCTCTCCAATACATTGGCGAAACTGGAACTACACTGAATGACAGACTTAAAGAACACAAGAGAAGTGTTAAGTCTGCAGACACTAACAATGCTCTCTTCTGCCATGTGAGGGATTCTAATCATCCCATTGATTGGTCTTCCTCCAAAATAATCTTTCCTGCCTCTACTCTACACAGACGCCGTCTTGTTGAATCGGCTCTAATACACAATGTACCCAACATGAACTTGAGTCCTGGCTTTGTTGCTGTGGACTCTTCCCTTTCACAGTATATACTCAAATGCTCTAATCTTTCTAACAAACGTGACCTTACATAAGCTTACCCTTTCCATTTACCTTTCTTTCTCTTTCCTTTCTTTCTCTATTCTCTCTTTTTTCTGTTCATTGTCTTCTCCTACGTTCCCTCGTTTTCCTCTTCTCATTATTTTCTCCTTCTCTTTCGGTGGGTATAATAGGAAGTGCCTCGTATGGGCCAATAGGCCCTCTGCAGTTCCTACTACTAGCCCCTCCACTACACCTTACTTTGCTCCTCATCTCTCGTGCCATTTATTGCCTGTCTCTACTTCCTCATCACAATCGACTTCAGAATGGTCCAGGACGGACCGAAACGTCGTCGTCCCTTCACATTCTAGTGTGTGGTCTGGTCATCATACTTCAGCCACGTTGTTGTGACTCATCGCCTGAAGGTAATATAATTATGCACGACATATAATCAATTAATAATCTCTTTTAGGACATTTTTAATTATCTTAAAATTGATCTCCTTACTCTTGGATTAATTTCTTGACTTATGATAAAATGAAATCTAGAGGGGAGAGCACTCTGAAGATTACTTGATTATAGGGTCCACTACCACTATAATTATATGTTTATTTGGTTACAGTTTACTGTTTACTGTGATTATAGAGAAGAGTTCCGTGCCTTGTCTTTTAAACATTCTGACTGGATGGTGGCAGCCCTTCTACCTTCTTACTGCTTTTCTATCTACCTCTATCTACTCTAACTCACTCTAGTTCTTTTTTCTAACTCTTTCCACTCATCTTCCTCTACATATTATGTCCCTGTCTTTAAGCCAACCCTTCATCCCATTTTCTCTCTAAACTTTCTCTGTCGCTGACTCTTTCTCACTCTTCACCTGTCACTCGTCCGCACTCTATATTGTTCTACGTCACTCTGCTTTTCTTTGCTTTTGTATTTTCCGATACGTTACACTTTTTAATTTTTTAACACATTTAGCTTCATCTGCATTTGTTGAGCTGCCCTAGACTAAATGAAAGGGGAGTACAGTTTGTGTGTTACATGATGCTAAAAATCTCCATCACACAGCATGGTTAGTCATACAGACGCAAGTGATCTGTATTCTGCACAGGCAAACTCTGTGTGCATTATGAGGATATCATCATTAACACACAAGTAAATAAGGGTAACAGTGATAATAAAGTCCCCATCTAGCAGGATGGTTAGTGATACTGAATCATATGTTCAGTAGCCTGCAATGGCAAGTTTTAGGTGCATTATGAAGATATCCTCAAGAACACGAGAGTGAATAAAGTAATTACAAAGCTCCAGGTACCTCATGCCAATGGGTCTGCGTTACACAGTGACGAACTGTGTAACATGAAATCCATAAGTCTTAAAGAAATGCTCAGACAGCTGGTAAGATTCATAGGTCTGGTAATATAACTTTGTTTATATAAGAAAAGAAACCACAATGGCGGGGATATATCAGTGAGAATCGTTTTGAGGCAATGGAGTGACTTGAACTCGCGTTCGGATGAATCCTAGACACCGGCCATAACCAACTCAGCCATGATGGTACAAAAGTCCTCTAACCCAGAACTCTGGTGAATTCACTTACTGAATAGTGGGTTCAAGTCACTCCATTGCCTAAAAACCAGGAAGACAATGCTGGTTATTATAGCCTGGTGCAGTATCACAGCATCATGTACAATGACCAAACATAACCAAATACCTCCATTCTCGAGGACAAAGGACACGAGAGCGAAGACGTGTTTAGGGGTGGCCAGGTCCCCTTTCATCCCCTGACAGTAGTGACGAGCCTGACTCCAGGCCAGTTGCTTGCTGCTCAGATAAAAGCACTCGTCCAGCACCCGTTTGTAAGGGTAGGGGCAGCACCGCTCTGGAAAGTAAACATCATTATTTAAAAGTGAGAAAAAATATTTTATCAAAAGGTATTTTTAGAATAAATTTATTGATAAGAATGGTTGTCCTTAGGATAGAAAATAGAGGAAGTCATAGTCTTTATTGAAACAAGAACTGGAGATAGTGTCAGTAGTAAGTTCATAATCATTTCTGGAAAGAGAAAAAAAACACATAGTTAAACAACTTAACATTTGTCGAATAAACTCTTGGTGCACTACAGCCAACGGGAAGAACGTGGAGTAATCAAGTATCAAGTACCAATCACCTTGAATCAAGTATGGGGGTCCACTACCCCTCACGAGATGGGTATACGGTCCACTACCAATCACGGAATGGGTATGGGGGTCCACTACCACCCACGGGATAGGTATAGGGTGCACTATCACCACTACCACCAACGGGATGGTCATGCGGTCCACTACCACCCACGAGATGGGTATGCGGTCCACTGCCACTCATGGAATGGGTATGGGAGTCCACTACCACCTACGGGATGGGTATGGGGTCAAATACCACCCCTCAAGATAAGTATGGGGTTCACTACCACCCAAGAGAAGGGTATGGGGTTCACTACCACCCACTAGATGGGAATGCGGTCCACTACCCACCTACGGGTGATATGCGGTCCACTACCAATCACGAGATGGGTATGCGATCCACTACCAATCACGAGAATGGTATGTGGTTCACTACCACCAACGAGATGGGTCTGCGGTCCACTACCTTCCACAAGAGGGAGGGGAGGAGAGGGACTATGAGGGAAGGAGGAAGATGTAAGGAGTGGGGAGAGGCGAGGAAAATTGAATAAAAAGTAAGCAAGAAGAGTAATTATCGTAGATCTACATGGCTATGTTAATCACTTCCGGCTTAGATCTAATATATATATATATATATATATATATATATATATATGGGAACTAATACCCCCCCATGGGAAGGGTATGGGGTCCACTTCCACCGACGTGGGTATGCGGTCCACTACCACCCACGAGATGATTATATTATATATTTACATATCTATATAAATAAAAATGGAAATGTTCGTTTGTGCATAATTGCTAATCTCCGAAAGTTCTTCACCGATTGCTTTGAAATTTTGACACAACGTTCCATTCGCAACCGAGCAAGTTTTATATACATACTTAATAAATGTCACGTCTGTGACTGTACAAAAAACATACTTTTTCTGAAAAATTTTGTTTTCATGTGTTTTTCATGTGAGGGAAATCTTTGAAAACCTATTTACCGATTGCTTTGAAAATTTTGACACAACGTTGCATTCAAATAGGCGCAACTTTTTATATACCTACTATATAGATGACACACCTGTGACAGGTAAAAACATGCAGTTTTGAAAAACAGCACCATCTGTTGAATATAATAGCAACATGCACGCTATACTAAATATGTCACGAATTCCATTTCAATGTTTCCGATTGCCTTGATAAATTTTATTTTCATAGATTTCTATTTATTTTATATTTTATTGAATTATTTTGTGTGACATTGTGTTGGAGTTGAGCTGTGTTGTTTACCATACTGTTCATTTCGTAAGAATAGGTATAGATGCCACACCTGTGACAGGTAAATCTAAGTTTTTTGAAAAACAGTGCCATATGTTGCATGTAAGAGCAACACACATGCTATACTAAATATGTTACAATTTCATTTCAATGTTTCTGATTGCATTGATAAATAGAATTTTCATAGATTTTGAATTATTTTCATTTTCATTTAATTATTTTGTGTGTTGTGTTGGAATTGAGCTGTGTTGTTTACTATACCGTTCATTTCGTAAGTATAGTTTATTATTTAATTTTGTTCATATTTTCATTTAATTTTTAAACTGTTTTCTTATATTTCAGTGATGGGAACATCAGATGACTTGATGTTCCTAATTTTTTGATGGGAACATCAGACCATTTGGGAAGGCATCGGACGAGGGAGTGGGGAATGGTGTGGATGACGAGGGGACGGAAGTGAGAGATGGTGGGGAGGACGAGGGGACAATAGAGAGGGGGTAATGGTGGGGAAGGACGAGGGGACGGGGGAGTTTGGGATGGTGGGGACGAGAGGATGGGGGAATGGAGAATGGTGGGGAGGACAAAGGGACACGGGAGTGGGGCATGGTGGGGAGGACGAGGGGACGGTGGAGAGGAGAATAGTGGGGAGGACTGGGGGACAGGAAAGGTTGCTGTGGCTCAGCTGAGCCACAAGCTGAACACCTATACCCCCTATTAGACTATTTTACAGGAACTTCTTTTCCACAGCTCATAAAACGGAGGAAAGGGTCCTGAAAGATATTGTTGATAGGAACTTTATCCCTACAGACAAAAATCAGAAGATACAATTGACGATTTACTATAAAACCAAAAAAACGGCCAACCTACTCATGAGAAACTCTCCAGACACAAAGCAGAACGCTTCAAAAGAGACCAACGTCGTCTATGCCTTCAAACGCCCACTTGGGGACTGTAAGCCTCAAAGAACTCACTATATAGGCAAGACAACAACATCTCTTTCCAGGCGATTAACGATGCATAAGCAACAGGGCTCCATTAAGGAACATATAATCTCTTCCATCAACCAGACCATCACCAGCGAAGTCTTAACAAACAACACAGAAATCATCGATAAATACAGCGATAACAGGCGGCTTGATATCTGCGAGGACCTACACATTAAGAAGTCGACACCAGCAATCAACAGCCAATTAATGCACAACTATATTCTACCCACCTCAAGACTCCGCTCCAATATAGAAGCATCAAGAAATATGGACCAATAGGCTTTCTACAATCACTTCCATTTCAATACCCATTGTTTCGTGTTCTGTCTTGTGTTGATGAAATTAAGACCCTATTAAATACCACCTCACCCCATCCACCTCACTCAAATGTAGATATAAACAAATCGGAGATATGTAAGTTCTATTCAGTTGTGTATGTGTAAAGTCTTTGAAAATGTAATAAGTTTTACGAAACGAGCTCAAGTGTTGCGTCAGACTAGAAATAAAAATGAATTTTGGAGAATTGATTTTTGAATTACCTCCAACAGTGAAAAGAAATGTACGAAAGATTGAGAAAATTCGTGTTAGAATTATTAATCTTACTTTTTCGGTCATATTTAATAATATATATATATATATATATATATATATATATATATATATATATATATATATATATATATATATATATATATATATATATATATATATATATATATATATATATATATATATATATATATATATATATATATATATATATATATATATATATATATATATATATATATATATATATATATATATATATGTCGTACCTAGTAGCCAGAACGTACTTCTGAGCCTACTATGCATGGCCCAATTTGAATAATAAGCCAAGTTTTTATGAATTAATTGTTTTTCGACTACCTAACCTACTTAACCTAACCTAACCTAACTTTTTCGGCTACCTAACCTAACCTAACCTATTAAGATAGGTTAGGTTAGGTTAGGTAGGGTTGGATAGGTTCGGTCATATATCTACGTTAATTTTAACTCCAATAAAAAATAATTGACCTCATACATATTGAAATGGGTAGCTTTATCATTTCATAAGAAAAAAATTACAGAAAATATAATAATTCAGGAAAACTTGGCTTATTAGGCAAATCGGGCCTTGCATAGTAGGCTGAGAAGTGCGTTCTGGCTACTAGATACGACATATATATATATATATATATATATATATATATATGTCGTACCTAATAGCCAGAACGCACTTCTATGCCTACTATTCAAGGCCCGATTTGCCTAATAAGCCAAGTTTTCATGAATTAATTGTTTTTCGACTACCTAACCTACCTAACCTAACCTAACCGAACTTTTTCGGCTACCTAACCTAACCTAACCTATAAAGATAGGTTAGGTTAGGTTAGGTAGGGTTGGTTAGGTTCGGTCATATATCTACGTTATTTTTAACTCCAATAAAAAAAAATGACCTCATACATAATGAAATGGGTAGCTTTATCATTTCATAAGAAAAAAATTAGAGAAAATATATTAATTCATGAAAACTTGGCTTATTAGGCAAATCAGGCCTTGCATAGTAGGCTGAGAATTGCGTTCTGGCTACTAGGTACGACATATATATATATATATATATATATATATATATATATATATATATATATATATATATATATATATATATATATATATATATATATATATATATATATATATATATATATATATATATATATATGTCGTACCTAATAGCCAGAACGCACTTCTCAGCCTACTATGCAAGGCCCGATTTGCCTAATAAGCCAAGTTTTCATGAATTAATGTTTTTTAGACTACCTAACCTACCTAACCTAACCTAACCTACCTTTTTTGGCAACCTAACCCAACCTAACCTATGAAGATAGGTTAGGTTAGGTTAGGTAGGGTTGGTTAGGTTCGGTCATATATCTACGTTAATTTTAACTACAATAAAAAAAAATTGACCTCATACATAATGAAATGGGTAGATTTATCATTTCATAAGAAAAAAATTAGAAAAAATATATTAATTCAGGAAAACTTGGCTTATTAGGCAAATCGGGCCTTGAATAGTAGGCCAAAAAGTGAGTTCTGGCTACTAGGTACGACATATATATATATATATATATATATATATATGTCGTACCTAGTAGCCAGAACGCACTTCTCAGCGTACTATGCAGGGCCCGATTTGCCTAATAAGCCAAGTTTTCCTGAATTAATATATTTTCTCTATTTTTTTTCTTATTAAATGATAAAGCTACCCATTTCATTATGTATGAGGTCAATTTTGTTTTATTGTAGTTAAAATTAACGTAGATATATGACCGAACCTAACCAACCCTACCTAACCTAACCTAACCTATCTTCATAGGTTAGGTTGGGTTAGGTGGCCGAAAAAGGTAGGTTAGGTTAGGTAGGTTAGGTAGTCGAAAAAACATTAATTCATGAAAACTTGGCTTATTAGGCAAATCGGACCTTGCATAGTAGGCTGAGAAGTGCGTTCTGGCTATTAGGTACGACATATATATATATATATATATATATATATATATATATATATATATATATATATATATATATATATATATATATATATATATATATAAGGGAGTACCACATCTGGCTGGAAGAAGGGTGACCCCCCCATAGCCTCGGAGGAAACCCCACATAACGCATAGGAGGGAATGTAGGTTCTGTATAAGTATATGTAATATGTATATGTATATGAATATGAATATGTATAAGAATATATGAGAAAATATATTAATTAACTAAAACTTGGCTTATTAGGCAAATCGGGCCTTGCATAGTAGGCCGAGAAGTGCGTTCTGGCTACTAGGTACGACATATACATATATATATATATATATATATATATATATATATATATATATATGTCGTACCTAGTAGCCAGAACTCACTTCTCAGCCTACTATTCAAGGCCCGATTTGCCTAATAAGCCAAGTTTTTCTGAATTAATATATTTACTATAATTTTTTTCTTATGAAATGATAAAGCAACCCTTTTCTCTATGTATAAGGTCAATTTTTTTTTATTGGAGTTAAAATTAACGTAGATATCTGACCGAACCTAACCAACCCTACCTAACCTAACCTAACCTATATTTATAGGTAAGGTTAGGTTAGGTAGCCAAAAAAAGCTAGGTTAGGTTAGGTTAGGTAGGTTAGGTAGACGAAAAAACATTAATTCATGAAAACTTGGCATATTAGGCAAATCGGGCCTTGAATAGTAGGCTGAGAAGTGCGTTCTGGCTATTAGGTACGACATATATATATATATATATATATATATATATATATAACTGAAAACTCACACCCCAGAAGTGACTCGAACCCATACTCCCAGAAGCAACGCAACTGGTATGTACAAGACGCCTTAATCCACTTGACCATCACGACCGGACAAAATGAGGTGATAGCCGAGGCTATTTGAACCACCCCACCGCCGGCACTCGGATAGTAATCTTGGGCATAGCATTTTACCAAATCACCTCATTCTTTGGGGCACACGTGAGGAACACAAGTGCGAACAAGCCTGAATGGTCCCCAGGACAATATGCAACTGAAAACTCACACCCCAGAAGTGACTCGAACCCATACTCCCAGAAGCAACGCAACTGGTATGTACAAGACGCCTTAATCCACTTGACCATCACGACCGGACAAAATGAGGTGATAGCCGAGGCTATTTGAACCACCCCACCGCCGGCACTTGGATAGTAATCTTGGGCATAGCATTTTACCAAATCACCTCATTCTTTGGGGCACACGTGAGGAACACAAATGCGAACAAGCCTGAATGGTCCCCAGGACAATATGCAACTGAAAACTCACACCCCAGAAGTGACTCGAACCCATACTCCCAGAAGATTACTATCCATGCCCAAGAAAGTAATTTGAATATTAGCAGTGGTCTATATAACTTAGATCCATTTCTAATAGATCAGCTAAAGGGCGATTTAAGTAGAATCATTGAAAAACATTTGTCTCACTAATTTATTGTATATATTTACTTCTTTATGTTATAATTACCTATATATTATGCTTGTATGTCTGCTGTATCAGATGGGCCATTGTGCTACATCGGATGTGCCAATTGGGTGCATCTGATGGGCCAATGGGCCTTCTGCGTTGTCCAAGTATTGTACCTCACCTTACTTCACCACTCCTTCCTGCCTATTTATACCCATCACTCGATCTGTAAAATGACCTTCTGAAGATGTATTTAATATACGAAAGTACTTAAGGAAATTTCCTGTTTCATTTTTCCTCCGTGGTCTGACATTGTCACATTCTTAATCACGTGTTTATTTTCGTGATATACACACACATATATATATATATATATATATGTCGTATCTAGTAGCCAGAACGCACTTGTCAGCCTACTATGCAAGGCCCGATTTGCCTAATAAGCCAAGTTTTCATGAATTAATTGTTTTTCGACTACCTAACCTAACCTAACCTAACTTTTTTGGCTACCTAACCTAACCTAACCTATAAAGATAGGTTAGGTTAGGTTAGGTAGGGTTGGTTAGGTACGGTCATATATCTAAGTTAATTTTAACTTCAATAAAAAAAAATTGACCTCATACATAATGAAATCGGTAGCTTTATCATTTCATAAGAAAAAAAATAAAGAAAATATATTAATTCAGGAAAACTTGGCTTATTAGGCAAATCGGGTCTTGCATAGTAGGCTGAGAAGTGCGTTCTGGCTACTAGGTACGATATATATATATATATATATATATATATATATATATATATATATATATATAATGTATATATATATATATATATATATATATATATATATATATATATATATATATATGTATGTGTGTGTGTGTGTGTGTGTGTGTGTGTGTGTGTGTGTGTGTGTGTGTGTGTGTGAACCGCCTCCCATCACTCTCCATCTCGTAAGTGAAACTTAACACCAAATTTTGCTCGAATGCCTCCTTCAGCTGCTGCAAACGTCTGACATCAGGTACCGCCATAAAAATGTCGTCAACGTACATGCAGTATATGGTGTGTTTCAAGTCCATGTCAACTAAGACCCTCTGCTCTATGATAACTATGTAGAAGTTCGCAAACAGGACACCTAGCGGAGACCCCATGGCGATCCCATCTACTTGCTTATACATGTGCCCATCGGGACTCAAGAAGGGTGCCTCTTTAGTGCAGGCTTTGAGTAACTTCCTCAGTATGCTCTTTAGTATGTCTAGAGGGGTGTAAGCTGGATCACGGTACAATCTGTCCATCATTATCCTAATTGTTTCGACCACAGGCACGTTGGTGAACAGCGACTCCACATCAAAAGAGGCTCTTATCCCTGTGGGCCCCACTCCCTGCAGTAAGTCACCGAATTCCTTTGGAGACTTCAGGCTAAAGGTACAAGGCACATAAGGAGACAACAGACAGTTGAGTCGCTTAGCCAGTCTGTATGTTGGTGTGGGTATCTGGCTGATGTGTGTGGGCGGTGTGTGGACATTGTGAGTGAGCGGTGTGTGGACATTGTGAGTGGGCGGTGTGTGTGGGCAGTGTTTGGGCGGAGTATGTGTGGGCAGTGTATTGGTGTAGTGTGTGGGCAGTATTTGGGTTGTGTGTGTGGGCGGTGAGTTTGGGCGCTGTGTGTGGGCACTATGTGTGGGCGGTGTGTGTTGGCGGTGTGCGGGCAATGTGTCTGGACGGTGTGTGTGCGTGTGGGCGGTGTGTGTGTGTGTGTGTGTGGGCAGTGTGTACTCACCTAGTTGTGTTTGCGGGGGTTGAGCTCTGGCTCTTTGTTTCCGCCTCTCAACTGGTGTACAGATCCTGAGCCTATTGGGCTCTATAATATCTACATTTGAAACTGTGTATGGAGTCAGCCTCCACCACAACACTACTTAATGCATTCCATTAGTTAACTACCCTGACACTGAAAAAAATTATTTCTAACGTCTCTGTGGCTCATCTGGGTACTAATTAGTTTCCACCTGTGTCCCCTTGTTCGTGTTCCACCCGTGCTGAAGAGTTTGTCTTTTTCCACCCTGTCAATTCCCCTGAGAATTTTGTAGGTGGTTATCATGTCTCCCCTTACTCTTCTGTTTTCCAGGGTTGTGAGGTTCAGCTCCCTTAGCCTTTCCTTGTGGCTCATCCCTCTCAGTTCCGGGACAGTGTGTGTGTGGGCGGTGTTTGTGTGGCTGTTGTGTATGGGCTGTGTGTGTGTGGGCGGTGTGTCGGCGGTGTGTGGGTGGTGTGTATGTGTGTTGGCGGTGTGTATGTGTGTTGGCGGTGTGTATGAGCGATGTGTGTGTGGGCGGTGTGTGGGCGGTGTGTGGACGGTATATGTGGGCAGTGTGTGTGGGCGGTTTGTGTGGGCGGTGTGTTTGGGCGGTGTGTGTGGGCGGTGTGTTTGGGCGGTGTGTGGACGGTATATGTGGGCAGTGTGTGTGGGCGGTGTGTGTGGGCGGTGTGTGTGGGCGGAGTGTGTGTGGACGGTGTGTGTGTGGGCGGTGTGTGTGTGGGTTTTGTATGGGCAGTGTGTGTGGGCGGAGTGTGGGCAGTGTGTGTGGGCGGTGTATGGGCAGTGTGTGTGGGCGGAGTGTGGGGCGGAGTGTGGGCAATGTGTGTGGGCGGTGTATGGGCAGTGTGTGTGGGCGGTGTATGGAAGGTGTGTGTAGGCGGTGCGTGGTTGTAGTTCCACTGATGGGACGAACATGAGTATCTCAAGTCAATTGTTGAGCACTGTTAAGTAAGGACAGCTGTCTTGGGTAGAGGGGGAGAACAGGTGCAAGACATACCTGGAGCACATGAGGTTTTCGCCTGTAGTGTGCTGTTCACCAGGTGCTTCAAGGTTTCAGCTTGCTCGGAGAGCACCAACTGTGTAACCACTAATGCTGAGCGCAGCTCCTCTAGTTCCGGGACGTCCAGCTTGGCTACACAGCCACCCATCACCAACCACCACACAACAACTGTCTTTAATCCAGCCATCATCCTGAGTGCAGGATCAGCCAGCCAGGCGAGCCAGAGACGATGTGTTGCCTCGGGATGTGTGGGCTGTGTGTTCCTGGGTCGGGGTGTACCAGTGTGTCCCTGGGTCGGGGTGTACCAGTGTGTCCCTGGGCCGGGGTGTACCAGTGTGTTCCTGGGCCGGGGTGTACCAGTGTATCTGCCGACCTAGTGATTGCTCTCAGTACATTTACACGCCTCCTGCACTGAAATTGATTTTGGCAGTAATGGTACACAACATCTACACATTTTAATTTGTCCATTGTAGTGTTTATTCTTACATTTATTAAAAGAAATTCTGATCAAGGAAACATTGTTATTTTAACATAAAATTGCTTCTTAACGAACATTGTTTAAGACTAATGATAGATATTAAAATTAAAAACTTCCTCAGGGAATACCAGTATTTCTAATCCAAGGCTGAATCTAATCTGGCGGAATTAATACACCATATTTTGTTTACTGCAGTCGCTTCTTGTTGTTTCTGAAGTGTAAATGCCATTCAGTAAGTTATCTTGTTCTCTCTGCGCAGTGAATAATTGTAGGCGGCACGATCGACAGGTTCTGGGTTCCACTCTCGTGGCAGGACCCAGAAGTTTATTCACGTTGTCATGAACCAAGTTGTATTTAGGTTCCCGTGAGTTGGTGAGCTGTTGTGAGTTGCATCCAGATAAACATCAACAGTTAGCCTATGGCGACCTCGATAAGCCTTACAGGATTCCAGGATTCGCGTTCCCGACCACTGAGTGGAATAAAAGCGAAAGAAATGGAAAAAGAAATACGGAAAAGTAGCTGGCAGCGAGCCAAAAGGCATCTTCTTATTCCTGAGGATATTTTCCATTTGAATTTTGAACTAGGTTTTTGTGTTAAACTTCTCCAAGCAAACACACTGTGCTGCCAGTGTTTTCTTTTCAACCCGCTCTCGCACAAGACAGCACATATATGACTTAATGCTTAAAGTCAATATGTTGAATATGAGTTAGTACACATGTGGTATATTCCCAGTTACATTTTTTTCAAGGCCCAAACTCTTCCTCACGTACCAATTTACGTCTCACAGTACCCGTCCATCACCGTAGACAGCAGAATAGTCGTGACTGGTTCAATTATAATGAAAATTGTAGTTTTCAGGTCCCACATGGGTTGTGAAATTTACCTGCTATTGTCCATGCTCTTAGACTATTACAGATCAGCTATATCCTATTGAAGGTTCGCAGTTTTGTTTTAAGAAATATAAGTTGTTCTTAGTAAATTATAATAAGCACTATAAATTATTACATAGAATAATAATGCTTCACTAATCAACATAATATACACTAGTTTGTGCTTTAAAAATCTTTAAAGAATGCATTGTAGGAACTTCAACAGAAAACGATATTACGTTGGAATGTCTGTTGGGTAAACTACTGCAAACAGGATGGTATAGTGTCTACTACCTACTGTAGAATGAGTATAGGGTCCACTACCACCTGTTAGGTAGGTAGGGGTCCACTACCACCTGGTTGGTGGGTAAGGGGTCTATACCACTTGTAGGACGTTGGTTCTGGGCCCAATAACTACCCATAGGATAGGTATGGGGTCCACTACCACCTACTGGATGGGTATATGGTCCACTACTACACACAGGATAGGTTTGGGTCCACTATCATCTACAGGATGAGTATGGGGTCCACTATCATCTACAGGATGAGTATGGGGTCCACTATCATCTACAGGATGAGTATGGGGTCCACTATCATCTACAGGATGAGTATGGGGTCCACTACTGCCCAATGGATGGGTATATGTTCCACATCCGCCCAAAGGATGTGTGTGGCGTCCACTATATTGCCAACAGGATGGGTCTGGGGTGAACAATCACCCACAGGAAGAAAATTGTGTCTACTACCGCCCACAGGATGGGTATGGCCTCCATTGCCGCCCACAGCATGAGTATAGGGTCCAGTTCCGTCCACGGAATGGGTATATGGTTAACTACCGCCGACAGGTTGGGTATATCGTCTACTACCGCCCATAAGATGGGTATGGGATCCACTATCGCCCACAGGATGGGTATGGGGTTAACTTTTTTTTTGAGTTATATGCAAGAGTTGTTACATTCTTGTACAGCCACTAGTACGCGTAGCGTTTCGGGCAGGTCCCTGGAATACGATCCCCGCCGCGAAGAATCGTTGTTACAACCAAGTACACATTTTACTGTTGATTTAAACAGAGGCTACAGTTAAGGATTTGCTCCCAGTAAATCCTCCCCGGCCAGGATACGAACCCAGGACAAAGCGTTCACCCATAGGTGAGCTCAACTACCGCTCAACTACCACCCATAGAACGCGTATGGGGTCCACTACCGCCCACAGGGTGAGTATTGGATCCATTACCGTCCATAATATGCTTATGGGGTCAAGTACCTTCCACAGGATAGGTATGGGGTCCACAACCGCCCACAGGGTGGGTGTGAGGTCCACTACTGCCTACAGCATGGCTATGGGGTCACTACCTCCCACAGGATATGCGAGGGGTCCAGTACCGCCCAAAAGATTAGTATGGGGTGCACTACCGCCCACGGGATGGGTATGGGGTCCACTACCACCCACAGGATAAGTATGTGGTCCATTACCACCCACAAGATGGGTATGGGGTCCACTACCACCCACAGGATGGGTATTGGGTCCTCTACCACCCACTAGATGGGTATGGAGTCAACTAGCACCCACAAGATGGGTATGGGGTCCATTAGCACCTACAGGATGGGTATTGGGTCCACTACCACCCACTAGATGGGTATGGAGTCAACTAGCACACACAAGATGGGTATGGGGTCCACAACCACCCACAGGATGGGTATGGGGTCCATTAACACCTACAGGATGGGTATGGGGTCCACTACCACCCACTAGATGGGTACGGGATCCACTAGCACCCACAAGATGGGTATGAGGTCCATTACTTCTCACAGGATGGGTATGGGGTCCACTACTACCAACTAGATGGGTATGGGGTTCACTAGCACCCACAAGATGGGTATGGGGTCCATTACCTCTCACAGGATGGGTATGGGGTCCACTACCACCAACTAGATGGGTATGGGGTTCACTAGCACCCACAAGATTGGTATGGGGTCCACTATCACCAACAGGATGGGTATATTGGGTCCACTCCCTTCCACAGGATGGGTATGGGGTCCACTATCACCAACAGGATGGGTATATTGGGTTCACTCCCTTCCACAGGATGGGTATGGGGTCCACTATCACTCACAGGCTGGGGTATGGGAGCAACTACAGCTCAAGGATAGATATAAATTCCATTACTTCCCACGGGGTGTTGGTGTTAGGAGTGGTGGTGGTGTTGGGAGTGGTGGTGGTGTTGGGAGTGGTGGTGGTAGTGGTGGTGGTGTTTGGAGTGGTTGGGAGTTACAAGCAGAATGTTGAATTTCAAGAGAGAACAAGTATATACTATGTCTAAAGCACTAATACGCACAGCGTTTTGGGCAAGATCTGGAAAAATCTTAAAAACTAAGACTTAAGACTAATTGAGATCAACAGCATGAACTGAACTGACATATGTTGACATTTAGGAGATAAGATAAGTTACAATTCAATTTTTTTCTTTATTATGCACCCCATACCCCTCCCGTGGGCGGTGGTGTAAAGGATTACAGAGGCACATAATCGGTTCTGGAACTCAACCCTCTAGTTCGTTTAGCTAAGCAAATAGCAATCTTTTGACGCTAGTTGCACAGTTATTAATGATATAAATACATGTACACATACCCATACATACATGTACGTATATATACATATACATATATACACATACGTATTCAATCACCTACACAAATACACACATCAATAATCTTTTATATCACAAGTGATTCAACAAGAGGCTCACAACAGTCACTATACAAGGCACTTTACATCTATGGTGATTCACACAGTTACTAGTTTTGCTCCACACCCACCCAACTGGGCGGCAGCTTTACAGTCATGTGCTCCACACCCACCCAACTGGGCGGCAGCTTTACAGTCATGTGCTCCACACCCACCCAACTGGGCGGCAGCTTTAGCGTCATGTGCATGCATTACCTACAGTAAGCAAATTTTGGATACTTCGGTAAGATTTCGGGCAGCACATCATTATGAATGAAGTACTTACAAATTTCTTGTACCCCATTGATGGTGTTATCTCTGAATTCCGCGATTTTTTCACATTCCATTATACAATGACGCAAAGTGTGCGAATAGTTCCGCTGACAGAGTTTACATTTAGTCAAATCTACATCAGCAGATGTTACAAACTCCCAGAGGTACTTGTAGCCGAGCCTAAACCTAGCAGTGGTAACATCTAGAAGTCTGCTAACCTTATTGGATGACCCATAGACGTGCGGTTCTTCCTGCATAATAGAATGATGATTGATGGAGGAACTGGTGTGAATTTCACTTTGCCTCAAGTCTCCGAAATTCTCATTCTCATCAGTTCTATCATGCATTCGGAGACCAATATGGGAAGGAATCCACAGAAGACAGACTCTGACTCCATCATTGATTATTTCATTAAATCTGAGTAAAGCTTCAGAGATAAGCACGTCACAGTTTTGCCTTGGGGAGCTGAGGGCAGTCAAGGATGACAAGGAGTCACTTACAATTAGCGTGTCAACTTTGGATTCATATACACGCTCGAGTGCAAGGATTATGGCAACCAATTCTGTTTGAAGAGTGAAGGCCCAGTTACTTAGACGCGCTCCACACTCATGGGAGAAGGAACCATCTCTCACTGTCACAACAACTGCACTTCCAGCTGCACCATGGGACTGATGCAAGGATCCATCAGTGTAGATAATCTGGGAAAGGGAGCGCTCTCTGACTAAAGCATCAATTTGGCTTAAGGCATTGTACTTTGCTTCTTGTCGAAGCAAGGCTTGTTCTTTAATCAGTTTCTTGGGTGGGAAAGGGGGGACAGTAATTTGGAAAGGAGTGATCTCCCATGGTGCAGGAAAGTGTTGTTGTCTCTCTTGGTAGAGGTGATGAATATTATACATTCTGAGCATAATGACAGTTTTGATAATCCATTTGGAGGGATGCTGACCT